TCCCTTTTCACAGAATTTTTAAAATAATTGTGCACACACACACATACACACACACTCTGAGATTTTGGTAGGAATTATGTTAAATATTTACATCAGTTTGGGGAAAACCAATTTCTTTACCAGGAAAATGTTATACCTCTGTATTTATTTACAACTTCCTCAATTTCTTTTATTACTGTTGTGTAGTTTTTAGCATGTAAGTCTTGTATGTGTTTTTTCTCCACCAATTGGTATTTTCAACCTGTCATTTTCTTCTTTTCCAAGTCTGGAAAGTGTGAGGTGAAAAGAAAACCCAGATCATTCAAAACCATGTCATTTCTTGGGTCCTGAAGTTCCTAGCTAGTCTGCCTCTTTCTCTTCGCCTTTCAGAATCTTTTTATGCTTGTTTTATATATAATGGCCATAGTTTTATGTTGTATGTAGCAAGAGGCATAGGGAAAAGTACATCTATTTCACCTTCCCAGAAATAGCAGTCTTGATATAAATCAAACATTTGTCACTAGATGTTGTCATATTGTATCTATGCACCCCAGAGGTTCCCTGGGGTTCTTTCAGCGGTGTCCATAGGGAAAGGTGGAGAGTATGTAGGACTCTGGCACTCCCACAGCTGCCCTGACCATACAAGCTCTTTTTATTTCTGTGAAGGGATCATCTGCATTTAAACTCATTCTATCTTGTGAAACTTCTGGAAGGCAATCATTGCACAGATCATGGCCTTATGATCATGAAGCCATTCATCACAGTTGTAGTGAATGGGGTCAAGAAAGTTAGAACAAGAGATGCCATCATTCTTTGCTAAAGAAGCTGGGGAGAAGAGAACACCTGCTTCTTTTCCTTCTCACCCCAAAACAAAAATGAGTGAGGCAGAGACAAAGGACTTAAGACATTCAGTACCAGTGCCTAGCCCTTTTGCCTCTCCTATCTATTTGACAGAAGAGCATCATGGAATCAGGTTCCCCATGGGTCCTTCTATCCTCTCAGGTTGAAAAGAAAGAGTTAGAGGGCTCTACCATTGAGAGGATGTCCCGAAACATGTTCTGGCTTTGGGGAAGAACATCAATCTGGCTGCTGTCTCAGCAACCTCTTGCTCAGACTGCAGGTCTGCTTGCTGGAAGATGACTAGTATTTCTTGTCAAAGTTCTCTCCATTGGCTGGCCCTTGCTCTGAGAAGCCATTGTTTGGAATGGCGTCTTATAGTAGCATCCGTCTGCAAGTGCAAATCTCCAGGTGAAGTCCTGTGTTATACTACAGGAAGCACTGCAGCCTCTGCAGTGTCACTGAGTCTGATGTATTGGCAAGTCCTCCAGCAGACCCTCCAGAATGAATACGATTGGCCACCCTGGCACCAACCAGACTTCCCACAGCAGTGACATTGGGCTTCTATCTAGGGGCATTGGGGAGATGCTGATTAGTATGAACTACCCCAATAGGATCTGCTTATATGTCTAGGGGAAACATTTCAATTGCTATGTAACTCATATTATCAAGAAGCCCTTACCTCACACACAACCAAATAAATTTGACTCAACTCTCAATTTCACAGCACGGGGGAAAAAAAAAATTCCGAACTCTGCCTTATAATTCTCATGAATTTCCAGGACTTATTTTCTAATGGCACCTCTTTCTTCAGGTCTTATTTCCATGGTGGACAAGGGTGTTCTCATTCACCCTGAGTCATCTCAGAAGCTAAGTTCAGCCAGTTTTCACAACCATTAAAACCCAACAAGCATATATACCCTTACTAGATGTCACTAATGTTTAGGTACAAGAGGAGGAATTGCACTAGGACACGTGCAACTCCTTTTCTCTTCTTCTTGGCCACTAACAGTCTTCCTCCTTCCAAACCCCGTTTTCTATCTGCTTCCTTTAAGGACTGACCTCAGCTCAACTTTAGCTCCTCTGGGTGTTTTCTGCTGTCTTCCTAAATAAGTACAATTTCAAATGTTTCTAGTGCCATATTCATTAAAATACTGTGTAATTGCCTGTTTAGTGTAGTGTTTATAAAGTTTATAAACTCCATGTGGGTACAAATCAACTCTTTTTCAATATCAGAGTGTGCAGCACAGATTACACACTCAAATACTTATTGATATCAACATTGACAAATATCCTGATACATTAGATTTGCATCTAATTCAGCCATGATGTAACTGCTTGTTCAAGTTAAAGTGTCCAGTGCAGTATGTTTCAAAATGTTTCTGCTTTATAAATACACACACACACACACACACACACACACACACACACACACACGAGCATGACAATTTATTTAAATAATTCTTTGAGGAAGTTCTTATAGATTATTCAAGCCTTTATATTTTTATTGTCCTTTTTTAAAAAAGAATTGCGTTGGCGACTAATATTTTAGAGATGTATACTACCTCAGAGTTACAGAAATATATCTTTACTGTAGTACTAATTATCATACATTTCAGGTTTTCTGGTAAGCTATATAAGAAGCATTCAACTATGTTAAGATTTTTTTAAAAAAACAATCTAGTGAAAATTCAATGATAACCTAATATCTTCTCCCAATTACATATTACCATTTGAATTATTCTAATTTCATATTTACAGGTAAATTATTTTAAAGTGATTTAAATACATATGTTTGTTCTGCAAAGGAATTAAATGAATTATTTTGGGCAAATTATGCAGAACACCTTAAGGTTTTCTAATTAATTAAAAATGTTTGTATTTTTCATGATTATTGCAAACATGAAAACATATCCTGCTAAACCCTCTATGATTTACTTGGTGGGAAGACAGCATTCCCACATGGGTAAATATAAATAGCAGAAGTGATTTAGTTTTAATGTAATTTCATGGTTAATTTGAAGCAATATTTAAAAATATCACAACATAACATGCCTCGAGTTTGAATTGTGGTATCTTTTTTTAAAGCACCATCATATTGGCTACTTTTATTGATCCTTGTAGAGCTCCTATACATTGTACTCTTATCTCCATCTTATAAATAAAGTCAAGTGGCTGGCCAGTCATAACATCAATATTTTGTGATGGGTTTGAGGCTTTAGTACAAGTCTTTGGTGATTTCTACTGGTAAAATTATGCTGGAGAGGAAGAGTGAAAACAACCCATCCTAAGAGAAGCAATAGTCTTAACTCAAACATTAGTGTTATCAAATGAATTTTAAGGTGATTGAAAGCAGCTCCATTGTGCTTTACTGTACAAACAACATAGCAGGCTGTTGCCACCATTTCTGCTTGATAAAACTTTGTGTACGTTTGGCCTCTTGCTTGGGAAGATTAATGAGCTCACTTCAGGGTTGGATCTGTAAGCAGATGATTGAATTTCAGGGAGGTGTTTGTATGCATTCAGGAGTATATTTCTGTCACTGAATTTCTTCGTGGGATGTCTCAAAGGGAGTGGATGGATGGAAACAGAAGGAAAGACTGTCTATTGTCAATGAAGCCAGGCAGGTGACCTAGATTCACAACACTGGAATGTGTACTCTGATGGATACTTTTTAAAAGAATGAAAGAAATCTTGGATAGAGGGACTGGCTTAATTTCCAGCCAATTCACATCAAGTCTCTTTGAAGGGGTTTTCTGATCCCAGGAGAAGCTTTTACTTGATATACGTTTCATGTGCTGGGTTTATCTAGGGTTCAGATAATCACACAGAGTAGTTCTCATCTGGATTACTCTGTGTGCTCCTGGCCTCAGCAGCCTCTTTTTTGGGGCCTTTCAGTTGAAATAAACAAACATGAAATCTGAAAGACTTACATGTGATCTTCGGGTCACAGCACCCTTTTCTGAGTAACTATTTGTGTTTCCCTATGAAATTGAAAAACAACCCTATGCATTTCAAAAAACATTGCAAGTAATTCCACAAGATTTACCTTTTATGAGAGGAAGATCAGTGAAAGTACAAAGAGCAGCAGAATGAAAAATGGAAAGATTGTGTTGTTGTCCATACACTGAACTGCGTTAGAATAGAGGGAGTTGCTAAAACCACACTAGATTGACCTCCCTGCAAGTTAGGTTTCCCATACTTCATCTTTCTGGAGCATAGTCATAAGGAATAAGTTTCCTTGAAGATAGGCTATATGCCCTATAAATTTTTGGATCTTAAGATACCATTGCATGTATGTCTGTCTTCCACCATGATTGTGTAACCTCCTGGAGAGTGGAGACCATGATTGTGTGTGTGTGTGTGTGTGTGTGTGTGTGTGTGTGTGTGTGTGTGTTCTTATCTCCAGCAACTAGCGGAAATCTAATTTTGGGGAGGTGCTCAGTTCAATGAATTGCATAAGTGTCTCTTGTGGTTGATCATTACTATTTTCTTAGCAAAAAGGTTGTGAAAATAATCATCTGTTTATCTGTGTTTCAAAATCAACAGTATAAATGATTACTGAATTGTGCCAAAATTCAATGCCGCTCTAGATGTTTTTAGTCGTGATTTAGTTTACTGTTTACTTATACCATAAATGGTAGTTAAACAAAATAGTGATTGTAACCTAGGAGTTTATGAGTTCCAGGCTGATTCCAACCGTATTTCACAAACAATGGTGTATTCACTGTAGGTAGTTGAACAAGTTGAAATATGTAGGATGGGGTTGGAATGAATGAGGAAATAAATGAATACAATGAAATAAGATTTTCAGATCTCACTTCAGAGCTTCAGACCCAGATATTCACTGTTCTCACTTAAATAATGCACAGACATGGCAAAGTCAATGTTACCCAAACTGAACTTGGGTACCTCTTCCATTCTCCCTTCTCTCAGTAAATGTCATAATTATCTGCCAATCTGCAAATGCTAGAAATTGGAGAGGTTCTCTTCTATCATCTTCCTTATCCTTCCTGGGTTATATTTTTCTCATTCTATGTACTCTACATGACTAGAGAATCTGATTCTCTTACTTATTTAAAGTAACCTATTTAAAAAGGCTTCTTTGTTATGAAATCTAAAAATTAATCATGGCTTCTCTGTTAAATGTGTTTAAACATAAATTTTGTCTTTTGTTTTTTCAGAAGATGCTTATAAGACCCAGGTTAGGATTGACAACGAGCCAGCTTATTTGGACATCTTGGACACTGCTGGTCAGGTAGGTAATTTTTTTAGATCTCGCCAACCTCTGAGGCCAGTTTAGGCTTTAATCTCAAATACATGTACCACAAAGAAGAAGATGAGTTTATCTATTCAAACAGAAGAACAAATTTTCAATGGCAATAAGGAACTAAGTAAGGGAAGAATTGACAGGAAATGTGATGTTGCCAACCAGAATATTTCAACATTCCTTTAATTTTCTAAATATAAAAGTGCTAGTATAGATGTAGTATTGCTAATGAGATTATAAAACTAATAAAATTGTTTATTATTCTTCCTCAGAAAAGCACAAAACTTTGTCCTTGACCCTAATCTGATGATTATTTTTATTAGAAAATTTTAAAGCAAACGTGCTTAGCAAATATGCTCATGGAACCAAGGACAGGGAGAAAGGTCAATAGAATGGGTAACATAATCAAGATTTAGCATAATCAAATGCATTAGTTTATAAATCTATACATAGGGATAAGGAGAAACAGAACTATGAGGAGGAGGAGGAGACAATAATTTGTGTGATATAACAATAAAGATAGAATTAAAATATTACCCAACAATTATAAATAAAGCAAGAGGAAAGGGATCAGTTAAAATATTTCAAAGCCTTGCAGTATTTGGGAGGAGGGTAGAGATTTTCTCTACTTCATACTTTTAAAATAATAATTTTAAAACTGTAAATATATCTATTAAATGCAAAACATAAACAAATAACTCTCTACTTTGTTATAAGACTAAAACTGCTCTAAAAAAATAGTCTTAAAAATGTAACTTAAAGCTAGCAGAGGGGAAAGGGAAGAATCGATTTTAAAAATTATTAATACAATGTAAGTTGAAAAGAAAGGAGAAAAACAAAGAAAAAGTAAAAAGAAAGCATAATATGATAAATATAAACATATCAGGAATCAAAATAAATGGAATTGGATATGCCTCTCCCAGAATAGTCAAGCAAATTGGTAGCATCATATTGAATCAAAGAACAAAACTAGCCTGTATCTGTTTGGTTTAAATGAGACAAAAGGGAAGGGCTCACCGAGTGGCTCAGTTGGTTAAGATCTCGCTCAGGAGTGTGAGCTCTGAGCAACAGGGTCACTGGTTCGATTCCTGGCCCAAGTTGAGTGCCGCTGAGCTGCCAATAGGTGGCAGGATGGCTCAACTAAAAAAATAAATAAATAAAATAAATAAAAGAGACAAAAGGGTACAGAGTGGTGGCAAATCAAAGAATGATTATTAAAAAAAAGTAGGCAAAAAATAATCAAACCTAAAGCCTGTATTAATATTAATATCAGACAAAATAGATTTATTGAATAAAGAATTATTGAGATGTAAAAGTGCCAATTTGTAATAAAACTCATCAAAAAAATGAAAAATATCTGATCAATAATGTCCAAGAAAAATGGAGCAAACTATATATATATATATATATATATATATATATATATATATATATATATATACCAAATCATTTGTACTGGAAATTTTTAATGCACCTCTGTCAGTAGGTTCTGGATCAAGAAGTAATGTAATTGTAGAAGATTTGAAAATACATTTAAATTAAATAAAATGATGCAGTCAATATGACAGCAGGCATTCTTTTCATGTACATTTGCTGCTTATGCTTTTTATTTCTTTCTAATCTAATTGCAAAGAACGTGGTCTGTAGAAGATTGGTTATTTGATTATGTAGAATTTTACACTGTGACTTAGAATGTGATAAAATTTTGTAATAAAGCTGTTAGTGGTTACCTCTTGAGGAGAAAGGGAAGAACTGGGAAAAGGGAGAGATACAAAGTAGACTTCAACTATACATGTAACGACTTATGTTTACTGAAGTTCTGATTAAATATGAAAAGGTGTTAATAGTTGAAAACCTGAGTCCTGGATACACAGATCTTCATTACACTATTTTCCTTGGTACTTAAATAATTTATTTATATATTATTAAATGTTGTATTATTTCATCTATTTAATGTAAGTATTTAAAATAACTTCATTAATTGGAATATTCTTATAGCCACTGAAAATAGGTGATCTCTTTCTATATGTGAGCTATATCAAGACTATATGAAACCCATATATTATCAAACTTATTTGTTTCCAGGGACATTTGAAAAATAAACTTATGAGTGGAAAACTTGAAGCCATTGAGGATACTTAGAATGAAAATATTTTCATTGACTCAGGGGAAAAAAATAGCTAAACCATGAATTATATAAAAATCTATGAAAGATACAGAAGCCCATAAAATGTCCTTAGTAATTCAGTATATGTAAAATACAATTATGTGAGATTATATGTCTGTATATATCTGTGTACATATGTATCTATCTCACATTCTCAATTTAATTAATTTGGCATCCAGAGCATTACAACACTGGATTCATTGTCCCATAGGGATACAAAAGAAATAAAATCACTGGAGTCCCTGGCCTTGAAGAGCTTATACTTTTATTTTTTGCACATATTTCAGAAAGAATCTGCCCCAAACTGAAGAAAGACATCACATTTTATTATGTCTTTAATCATATCACCTCTATAGCTTTCTCTTATAAACAGTGAATGTTCCTTATCCAACCATGTTTTAAGCATCTAATTACTTACCAGTGTGATATGTAGAACATTAAGATTTATATTTATCATTTATATTTTTAGTTGAAACTTGGCTCAAAACTAAACCTGCCAAATTTTTAAAAAATTTGCTTTACATATAGCATAAATACACTAAGTAAAATGACTACCAAGGCTCTCTAAAGTACACTTTTGATAGAAATAGCTGAAAAACATAATGCCATTCAATGACCTCATCACTCAAATAATTTCCCTCAGTACTGCATTTTTTGTGGTGGACAATGCTAGAGTTCTGCATCCTATAATTACTTCTGGGCCACTGTGCAAACAGAACTTTCACTAAGAATAGTCCTCAGTAGAAATTCTGCAGTCGATTTATAAATATTTCTATTTAATATCCATGGAAATGACTATAATTGTGAATGTTTAGAGACCATGCATTTTAGTTCCTTTGTTTACAAATAAGGACATTGGGGTTCAGAAGAGGCGGCTTGCCCAAGGTCACATGGCTTCTAAATGCCAATCTTGGAGTGATCCTGGTGCTATGCCCGTGAGTCATTCCTGAAAGCCTACAGTAATGGAGCTACATTATCTCTAAAAGCCATCTCTATGTATAGTACTGGACTGTTCATGACTAGTAATGCTTGCTCTTTGTGCATTACTTTTTTGAGAATGTCTATGACATTTTGACTAAAAGAGTCTTAGTTGAAAACAACCAGTACAGAATACTGGCAAGAACAATGAATCAAAAACTCAAGATGGTAAAATCCAGGAAGAATCTGAATTTAAAAAGATGTCATTAGTGTAAGAGTTTGTTTACAACCTTCATTTTTGCTTTCTTTATATTTTGCACAAAGGATTTGTCTTCCCTAATTCTAAATATCGAGTATTTGTTTGCAGATTTTCTTTGAGTTACACTGTCAGTGTATTAATCCATTAAGAAAGAATTTAGATGATAAGCATAAATAACAATATTGCATCTATTTGGCATCTATGGGAACGATCAAATGAGCAAGAACAAAGGGTCAACCCATACAATTTGCTATAACTCTTGTATAGTTATATTATGAAGGAGGGGCCCAGTTAAGAATAAGTACTCAGTAAAAGCGAATGAAACATTTTGTCATATGACCTGTATTTTTCCCACACCTGACATAAATGGGATATGTAGAATTAGACAAAATATTTATTGTCTCTTTGATTCACTTTCTTCCCATTTATTAAATAAAGAGCTAAGATTAAATGTTATTTAAATCACTTTGTGCTCTATCATTTTATCATTCTCAAAACAATTTCATTCCTTCAACAGTGAATTATTATGTGGTAGACACTGATTATGTTCTCTCAACAGTCTCAATGACAGATTCAAATAAATTTGAAAAATGTTTCCTGCCTTAAGAAATTTGCAGTTTAGTAATCGATGCAAGATGTACCTGGTTTGCTCAGAGAAAATGTCACTTATGTGTCATAAAGGTAGCTCTCAATTAAGTTAAAGAATGAAAATCAACTATTTTTGCTTAGGCAAAATGATAACCAGAGAAGGATAATACAGGAGGGCTTCTCCCAACAAACTATTAATTTCACTGAGGAGGTATGTTTATACACATGACTTCCAGTTATGAGTCTGTTAAAAGAAAAACAAATGGGCAAATTGCCTATCATCACAGATATTCTAGTAGTAGGGCATTTTGATGATAAACCAAAGGTATTACAAAACCTTTTTCTTTGATTATCCTTTTTTCTTCCTTCAAGAATATAACAATAATGTGATGTTAGATTTTTTTTTTCTGTGTTCTAATGTGGGGAATAGATAGTGAGAGAGATTCTGGGTGGGTTTGGAGCCTCTTGTATATCTGGAAAGCTATGAGGAGTCACAACAGGGATCAGAGGAAGGGAAATAGAAAACTTGGTTCTTGAAGCTAAATCGAAGCTTAAGGAAAAAGCTTGATTTTTTTTTCTAAAGTCATATTTCTACACTTTACAGTGCAGGTTGGCAGGTTGCAAACATACATGATAAGAAGAACAGAGATTTGTCTGGAGTGACCTATAGAACCTTACTATGGTAAACAGATTGCAGTAGAAAATCACTGGGGAAATAACAGTCCTTATATACATCATAGCTAATATATCAAAATGTAAATGGGTCAGTTAGTCTCATTTTCAAAGATTAAAAAATCTTTTAAGTGAGGGACTATGTCTTCCTTTATGTCACTGTCTATGTATGGTATCTTGTTTGGTATATTATAGGTGTTTCTTAATCATGTAACTTTTTCAACCAATTGGGAAAGAAAATAACTAATCTAGATTCATTTTCTAATGTATCTATTTATTTATTTTTTGGTTTAAGACCCTTGGTGAATATTTGCTGCTAACCTTATCCTTACACCTAAGAATCTTCAAGGGCCCTGGGAAACGTGCACTGCATGTCATCTGAAA